GGGGGGTGGGAGCCTGTATGTGGGAGGAGGTGGGAGCCCAGTCTGCCCCAGCACTGAGGTGCATGGTCCCACTGGGGAGTGGAAAGAGGGAGCCAGCGGAAGCCTGCAGCCCGGGTCCCAGGTGCCGCGGTCTCCAGGCCCCAGGCAGCGCCTCTGCAACCCTCTCTCCAGGGCGCTCCAAGGGCAGCCTCAGCGGGGCACGGTCCCGGGAGGRATGGGATCCGCTCCGCTCAGGCGTGTGCTGCCCTGTGTGTGCGTGAACCCTGGGCCAGGCTGTGCCCCAGGACTGCAGCCCTCAGAACCCGCGGTGGGACAACAGGGGCTCTGCTGTGGGTCTCCTGCAGATCTCAGCGCGTGGCGGGGCAGGGGCTCTGAAACGAGAAGCCGCACCCAGCGCTTCGGGCCAGCGTGATGCCTTCTGTGGGCCTTAGTGTCCTCTTTAGTAAACCGGGTGCTGGTGCAGCTGTGCCCGGGTTGCTGCACAGGAGGCTTGTGATTGGAGGAACSATGGTGACCGCCTGTGTCGGGCAGTGGTCCTTCCAGCCGGCCATCTTAGGGATGCAGAAGCAGGAGCTCTAAGCACAGTGGCTGGGGAGGACTGGCCTGGGCYGGCGCAGGCCCTCGCTGCTGAGCTGGGGCACCAGTCACGTGCCAGTGCTGGAGACAGCTCGGTCGTCCTTCTCAGCTCCCCGCAGGGAACCGTCACCTCTTTGCACTCRAGGGTACCTTGACTTCACATGGGATCGGGCCACTGTTTTAGTGCAATCGTCTACATATTGGGGCTCCTTGTCTTTCAGAGGCTTCTGATGCTCTCTCAGTGCTTACACTGAGCTTTGAGATTGTTCAGTATAAATTTCTTCCTTTTGCAGGGAGAATAAACCAACAGGCAAAGCAGTGYCTAAGCTCACTCAGAAAAGGAGCACTAGAGCCAGCTACAGTCAGCCTCCAAGGCCTGGGGGGCCTCAGACCCCCCCAAGTCACTCCTGCTGGGAGGGAGTCCTTCCAAGAAGTCAGGGTGCTCTGTGCCCACTGGGCAAACTGGCACAAGCAGAGCAAAGCCCAGGGGCGCACAGTGCTCTGCGGAAGTCTGTCTGTGAGCAGGGACAGCTGCCCATCCCCCACTCCTCCTCAAGCAGTCGTCTAAACACAAATTTGGAGGCAGTGAAACCTGTATCTGTGTTTTGCGGGCTGGCGAGGTCACGGAGAAGACCGAGGGAAACTGAGACCTGTTTCCTCTCTGCTTTGGCAATCTCATGGAAAGGGTCTGGAGAAAACGCGAGGCGCAGAGGTGAGGGCTTTGAACACAGGTGCTGGACAGCTGGCCAGGCTGCTCCACCAGGGAGGGACGGTTTGGAAGGTGAGACCCCGTGTTCCTCTCGCCTGGGCCTCAAGTTTCCTCATGCCTCTGGGGGGCTGCTCCTTTGGGCAACTCAGAGTGGTCAGTTGGACGAGAGGCCTAGCTCATCCTGAGGGTCCTGGCAGGACGGAAGGACAGGTGGTGAGCCGAGGGGTCACGGCAAGAAGGCTCACGTCCCTGGGGCCTTGGGGGAGCAGCCGGGCTCCCTGCACCTGGAGCCCCTGGGTCCTCCAGGGGAGGGCTCTTGCCACACCTCCCTGGACACTGGCCGTGCTCCAGGGGTGCCGAGTGCCAGGAGGCGAGCGTGTGTTGGCTTCTGGGTAAATGCGTGCCGTCCTGCACGAGTCTCYACGAGTCTGTGATGCGACGCGGGGGCCCCAGCACCGCTGGTGTCTCAGACTGGCCTGAGCATCCACAGTCTGCCGTGGGCCTCAGTGGCCCTGCTGCCTCCCTCCCTGGGGAGCTGGCTGAGAGGGCACAGGTCGGGCTGTCTGGGCAGTGCTGGGCAGCGCCCCTCGCCTGGCAGCAGCCCCCGGCCTTCACCCTCTCGCACCTCAGAGCCTCTAGTGCTGCCTCTAGTGCTGCCACGGAGAATGCTCCGCAAGGGCTTCCTGGGATGGGTGCTGCGGCTGTTGCCCTGGTAACAGGACCATTAGCTGAGTTCCAGTCTCGCTGTGCGGTGAGGTAATGTCTGCTGCGCAGCCTGCCTGTCGCCCCACTCCCACCCTGCGCCTCGTGCCCAGCCCGACTTCCGGCCCCGCCACCTGAGCGTGCTCCCCACGGGGCTGCACGGCTCAACGACACCCTTCCTCAGGCTCAGACGCCCCGCCGGACAAAGCCCCACCGCCCACCTCCCTGGCCCTTCACCCACCTCCCTGGCCCTCACAACCCTGATTGCCCCCCCCCATCCACCCACCCGACCAAGCCCAGCGCAGCCCTGCTGCATGCAGAGCAGGTCCTGGCGGGGGGCTGGGCCTGGGACAGAGCCAGGAGGAGTGGGAAAGGAGGCCCTCGTGTAGTGACCTTGGG